CAGTAAATAAGTAACAGAAGTCCTAGCTATAGTTGTTGCATAACATTTTTCAATGGAAAACAGTAAGTGTTGCAATCTCAGCAAGAAAGTCTTTCTCTGAATGGGTAATCTTCCCTGAAACAAACATTACAACAAATTGCCAATTTGATTCAAAAAAGAGTAATCATAAAGTATTTCTAACCCTTTTACATTGGTCATTTTGATCAGCTCAACCATCAGTTAGGGTAACTTCCCATTATTATACCAAGCTGCTGTTTTTCCTACAGAAGTAGCCAGGGAACACAAAATCAGTTGGCAGGCTATAGTTTAATTCAACTGTAAGAAATTCCTCTCAACAAACATCTGGATGAAACAAATGTGGCTACAAGCAATTATGGTTGTGTGGCTTCCCATTCAAAAACAGCAACTGTTACCCCTCATCATGAAACCACATTCACACATTTAAGTTACATCCGCTTCAAGAACCCAACAATCCAGGGGCAGCTTTAATTTCTAAGCTTCCTAGTAGTCCATATTGCCTTAACACCCATCCCACAGGATGGCCATGAGAGTCAACATTTCAAAAAGAACAATCTATGCGGAGTTCTTAGCACAAATGGGCAAAGCTGGGTTCAAAAGCACATAACATGCCCAGAGCAGACAGCTGGTAAGGGCAGAGCTGTAATTCACGTTTAGGTGTCCTTCACTGACAAAGGTTCTGTTAGTTACCATACAAACAACCACAGTTCATTTTCTTGTGCACATACTATGTGTCAGTCACCCCTGAAAGTACCCCTTATTTAATTTTCACAAGAAAATTAGTTCAAATAATCAATACACAGTGAAGGAAACAAAATATGTTAATATGCTCAGCCTCATTTATAACTAAAATTAAAACTGCAATGATCTTTTCCATTTCACAGATTGCTGGTACCATTGTTGAGGATTGAAAACAGAGAGCTCCACATGGGAGGCAAAGTGCCCTCTGCATCTTCATAAAGCAACTTGGTGTATCCATCAAAACTGTAAACACCCTTTATCCAGGTAATTTTACTTCCAGGCATGTAACCTACCAACACTCTCAACTATACAAAAAGACATCTGAACAGAGGCATGGCAGCACATTTGAAATTCCCACCATTAGGGAGTGGCTGAGCACATAAAGGCTCATTTGTAAAACAGTATCACACAATCATGAAAAGTGAAGGTGCGCTTCATGAAACCATTGACAATGATCTCAAAAACAGATTAACAAATGACTATGTGAGCCAGGGGCAGTGGCACATGCCTATAATTCCATCAGCTCAGTAGGCTGAGGCAGGAGGATTGCGAGTTCAAAGCCAGCCTCAGCAAAAGCAAGATGCTAAACAACTCAGTGACACCCTAAATAAAACGCAAAATAGGGCTGGGGATGTGGCTGAGTGGCCAAGTACCCCCGAGTTCAATCCCCAGTACCCAAAAAAGAAAACAAAAAAAGACTACATGATATATAACCCAAGGATTGAATACCTTTAGAAAGACACAGAAGACTACTACAACATGAAGAGTGTCAGGGGAAAGCCTGGACTGAGCAGACAACAGAGCTGGGCAGGAGACTTTCAAAGGCAATCCAAAGGGCTGGGGATGTGACTCAAGCGGTAGCGCGCTTGCCTGGCATGCGTGCAGCCCAGGTTCGAACCTCAGCACCATATACAAACAAAGATGTTGTGTCCGTCGAATACTAAAAGATAAATATTAAAATTCTCTCTCTCTCTCTCTCAAAAAAAAAAAAAAAAAAAAAAAGGCAATCCAAAGGCTGGTCCCTAAAGGGGCCTGTGTCTGGGCACCGGATTTGAGAGGAAATTCTCAATAAATGAAGGATGTGATAAGGGTAACCATGTTTGGAAAGCTGCTGTATGCGATTTGGAGTAAACTTTTCAGTGAGTGGTGATTTTTTATACCTAAATCTTGGTGGCTTCAAGGAACTTACAGTCCAGGCCGAAAGATTTGTCTGACCTGCTTGATTGTTTGTGGCAAAATTGGGAATAGCGGAAACAATCCTCAGCTACCTCCAAATCCTTCAGTGGCTACTCTCATCTATCGAAAAGAAGTCAGGAGTTATTCATTACCAAAATGACAACATTCTACCACTCAGACAGCTCCAACCAGCTTAGTATCTTCAGATTTGCACAGCTAAAGCCACACAACATTCATGTGTCCTCCAAACTCCAGGGGATAATAATTAGGCTCTTTCCAGGCCTTTCCCATATGGCCCTCTCTAGTTGCTTAGCAAATATCCAACTGAGGTGACAGTTCAACTGCTCCTTGCAAATATCCCATTTTGTGAGTGTGCTTGTGAAGCATCCTCTCTTGGCTTAAGGTACATCTGGGAAGTCACTGTCTTCTGTGGGCATGAAATCCATAATTTTGCTTAAACAAGCAAAATATACATGTTCCTTCCTTGTGCCTTTGCTGTTATATCTGCCTTCCTTGACTGCTTCAACGGCCACTTTTTCCAGAGTTCAGCCAAGGCTCATCTTTATTAATATAAAATACTAGTTGACTACCACAAGCAGCACTTCCTCTACAATCCCAGGTGCACTTGTACATACACACCTCACTGCTGCCCTGCATGGAAAAAAAGACACTCACCGGTGTGTGTCCCCATAAGGAAAATCCTTCAGGGCAGATGTGTTCTGCATTATGTCCCCCACACAGCAGACATTCTAAAAATGTTGCAAATAATTTGTGGATAAAAGATCATTGCTGAGCTTATTCCTGCTTCTTCTAAAACAAACTACCTTTCTCTGGTTCTCTATAGAAATCCTACTTCATATCAACATCACAAGGCTGCTCTCCACAAAATTTTTAGGCCAATGGACCATCTGAAATCACTGTGGCTACAACAGCAGCTACGATTCTGCTCCCCGCTTTCATCTCATTGAAAAAATATCCCTGCATTAAGATGCTTATCCTCATCTAACTTGACAAAAATCATGAGAAAAACGATAACTGAAAGGGTGAAGTAAATAGTATAATCTGCTCACCTTGCTTAGACTCAGTGTGAAATTCATAGCAACTAAAATAGTAGAACATAAGAGATAAGCATCCAATTTCCAGAAACATCACATGCAATTTAAAAAGTGTTAACAGCAAAGTTACAGAACAAAGTCCACAGAACACACATAATCTATTATATAATAAATACATGGATGCAAACTTTGATCTAATTTTAATATATTACTGCTAGAGAGAGGAAACTATTTTTTTTAATTGCACACAGAATAAATGTATAAATCTCCTCACAATTTTCATTAAAGCTTCCATGTATTTTGTTGACGGAACAATCGAAGGAGCTCTTGGGAAAAAGATTTGATATTGGTGTAAAAATAATCTAAGAATTGAAACTATTTATAAAGCAAAAAATTTTTTCAAAGAAAACTTCTTGTTTTTCTCACTTGGAAAAGTAGCTATGTTTCATTCAGCAATAACTCATTCATTCTATCTGAGAGTTTGCACAGAAGCAAGACTTCAACTAAAATTGGTTCTGAAGGATCTTTTATGAACACCCACAATGCAGAAGACCCCAATTAAATTTCTAACAAAGCACTGATGTTTTGAGCAAACAAAGTCATCTCAGGGAGGTCAAGCTATTTGCCAGGATTGTAGTCAAAAAATTAATTACTATCATAACATACATCAAAACAAATTTTCAGAAGAATACAATACAGTTGTAACCCTATGTTTTGCCTTTTTATATGCAAAACCAATACTCACTGGAATGTAAATATAGTCATTTATTCAGCACACTTTAGAAAAAAAAAGAAAGGGCCCTTTTCCCTGTGCCCAGGTGAAATCTGAATAAATAACACAGTTTTAGAAAGTCAGAAAACAAGTACAGAAAGAAGATACAGTATAGGTGATATTTCTGAAAGACTGAAGTCCTCTTCACACAAATAACTCATTTTGAAACATTTGGTTTGCAAAGAAAGGAAGTTCTTCAAAGCTCCTGAACAACTAGGCTACACTGCAGATTGTCACCTTGCGAAAAATCCTTTTACATTTAACAGTGTCAGTGCTTATAAGGAAAGCACACTCATCTCTTAGAGTGCTTCTTTCATTACTAATTTCTTATTAATTCTCTAAACTACAGTGATTAACTGGATATCTTATTCTTAGTTATTTCTCAATATTTTGGCTCTAAGAGATATTTAGTCACCCTACAGTGACAGTGAAGCTACATGGCATGATGTGTGGCCACTCTGACCACAGGTGGTGGCTCTTCCAGCAAACCCCTTCTACCATTCTTTTAGATGGAAGAACCAAAACAAAACTAAACATTGTTTAAAAGAATGGCCATAGGGCTGGGGCTGGGGCTTAGTGGTAGAGCACTCGCCTAGCACGTGCAAGGGTCTGGGTTTGATCCTCAGCACCACGTAAAAATAAGTAAATAAAATAAAGGTATTGTGTCCAACTACTTCTAAAAAATAAATATTTTTTTTAAAAATGAGCATAATTCCCTTTATTTTTATTCATTTACTTGATACCAGGAATTAAACCCAGGTATGCTTAAACACTAAACCATATCCCCAGCCCTTTTAATTTTTTATTCGGAGATAGGATCTCATTAAGTTGCTTAGTATCTCGCTAAATTGCTGAGGCTGGCTTTGAACTTTCGATCCTCCTGCCTTAGTCTCCAAACCACTGGGATTACAGGAATGTGCCACTGTGTCTGGCCCATTTTTTTGGTCTTTTAAACTAGTTTCTCCAAATTTATTTCTGATTGTTAAAAACACACAAATTTACTGTAATACCAGCTACCTGAGAGGCCAAGGCAGGAAGATTGCAAGCTTAAGGTCTTTCTTGGCAACTTAGCAAGACCCTGTCTTAAAATAAAAAATAAAAAGGACTTGGGATGTATTCAGGGGTAGTGCACCCCTGGATTCAGTGCCTAGTACTGGGGGAGAGGGAAACAAATACGCACATGCCAAACAAAGCATATCATTCTTTTGCACTTCAATAGTGGAAATTAAATGAGTTACCTCTCTTAAAACTGTGCTTTTATAGCCTCGATACAAGCCTTGGATGCCCTGAAACAAACAAAAAAAATCAAGAACTTATGAATTCAGAAAGGCAAAGAAGATTTCTAAATGACATTCTGAAAAAAACAGATTCATCTGCTCTAAAACGTGGGTTCTAAAACATTCACCCACATCGCAGTTCTATAAGAAGTAGGTTCTAAACTCAAGTGAGTTCCCTTAAAAAATGTGAGCATCTCTAAAAACAAACTGGCTGCCTACATGTTCATTTAGTTTTAGTTGCTATTATTCAATATTTCTTCTCATGCTTTGAATATATTTCCAAAACATATGCATATAAATGTCAATTATCCTTTCATATAAAAAGAAAATATTTCATAACATCACAAATTTATTAATAATTGCTCAATAAAGTAGTGGTATATATTTCCAGACAAACCATGATTTATATGCATGGTCCAATAAGGATCCTATAGGACAGATCTCATTCATATAATGTCTCCTCACTCTTTGCTCGGGCGACAGACCATTAAGAACAACTTTCTTAAAACCTACATTCATTGAGATTGATTTGTTTTTTTTTTTGGTGGGGGGGTATTACTGGGGATTGAACACAGAGGCCCTCTACTACTCAGCTACACCTCAGCCCTTTTTATTTTGAGACAGGGTCTCAGTAAGCTGCCAAGGTTGGCCTTGAACTTGTGATCCTCCTGCCTCAGCCTCCTGAGTTGATGGTGTGCATCACCACCACAGGCTGAGAATAACCCCTATTTAAAAAAAAAAACACCAGGTGCCATGTCATGGGCCTATAGTCCAGCTTTTAGGGAGGCTGAGGCAGGATCCCTTGAGCCTAAGAGTTTGAGGCCAGACTAGGCAACATAATCAGATCCTGCTTCAAAAAAACAAAACAAACAAAAGCTTCTATAAAAACTATAAAGGAGAACAGCTAAGTGCTTCCTAGTCAATGTCTAGAAAAAATAATTTTTGATTCAAGCTAACTCTGATCAGAAAAAAGAGAAATTATATTTTGACACAAATATTATGAAGTTGGTCACTATTCTAGGTCCATTACTATATTTCTTTTTTGGGCCCTCAAATTCTATAGGGATATTTTAGTAAGTTATTCACTTTACATATTTACCATTTGTTCTGTGTCTGGTTCTAAAATAAATATAGGAAGATAACAACAGGATACATATATAATGGTACTCACTGTATGTTTGGTCAGAAATTTGAAAAAGAAATAAAACTAGAAATTCAAAAACAAAGAAAAGGCAAAGATAATCTTAGTTTAAAAGTTACTATAATTGAACATTAAATTCAGCTCCAAGGTTTCCTCTTAGGCTCTGGTCATGAGCCACACAGTGTTCCTATTAACTACTATAAAATGGTCCTCAGCAAAGAGAAGAAAGAAAACCTAAAAACATCTCACCTCTTCATATAAGATATCAGAGAATATCTGAAATGTTCTTGAGGAAGCAGATACCTGTGCCCTCTGCTTAACCACTTCTGAAGGAACTCGAATCAGACAGGCAACCTAAAATATATAAATTTAATTATATCCTGAAAAGAAAATAACTGTTGCAAAAATGGAAAATTTTTCCATAAGCAAAATTCACAGTAAATATGTATCATGTACAGGTTACAGAAAGATGTCAGAGCAAGACTGATCATCAACTGGTACCCCTCCCTATCCTGGCCACCACCCAAGTCCCTAGACCCCCACTATGCAATAGCTGAGGAGGGCTCTGGTATCCCTCAACTCAGTGCCATCTTTCCAGGTGACATTGCTGCTGACTGGCACGTGGTAAGGCCTACACCTTACCAGTCAACACTGGGTAAAGTAGACAGCACCTTAAGTTCACACCTCCAAGATTTTACCTTTATGCTAAAGGTAGCTTACTTATTTTCACAAACAGGGAGACAAATAAAGAATTTGCCAAACCAGAAGGTACTCTGCCCACAGAAGGACAGAGGCGGGGGTGGACAAAGGGCGGGAGGGCACAGGGAGGAAGACACTTACACTGAAAATATAAACTGTTTTAATGGAAATCCTCTATGCATTACGCAGTCTGCCATAGACACAAACTTTGTCTGCACTTTACATTTCACATACCTAACTCGGGTATCCACTGTTTTCCATGTGACTAGAGACATTAATTTTAAATTTTTAGAATAAAAATATAATATTCACATCTGAGGCACAGTAGGAAATGTGGACAATCTCTTCCATAACACACGTAGCAGAATGAAAGAAAAACAAGAAATTTCACAAAAGCATCCCACCAAATAAGTAACACAAGGTCAAGGAGGTCTATATTTTTTCTTCTGTATTCTTCTAATTCCTAATCAGAGAGTAGGGCCCAGTTTGGATAGATTTAATGTAAGGTTTTGTCTTTCCATAATTAAGTGGCTTTAAGGCAAAGGTTGGCAAAATTTTTTATGTCAAAAACCAAAATAAACACTTTAGACTGCAAACCACATGGCCTCTTCAACTACACTGTTTCAGCACAAAGGAGCTATGAATAAATAATATGTAAATCAATGGTTTGGCTGTGTTCCAGTAAAACTTTATTTACAAAACACTACTGCTAGTTTGCCAACCCTTGCTCAAGGAATAAACATTGGCAAATTCTTCTTTGATATCAGCCTTGGCAGGAGCAAAATAGGCACAGAACACATGTGATCCTCAGCACCCCAAGATACAAGGGACAAAGATGATATATGATGTGATCCTAGATGTCAGAGACAGCCAGCATGCACACAATACCACGGAATATTAAAAACAAGCTAAACTAGCTATTCTTTATGTTGATGCACAACAAGAGATATGATTATGACAAGAAAAGATTCGTTTCCTGAAGTTATTTTCTCCCCAAACAGTATCTGCAAAACAATAAAATCTGATTTTCATTTCTCCATCAAGCATTTGAATGCTCATTATTTATAGAGATGTCTGCAACTGCAGCCAACATACCTTCCCACCTAGACTTCCTTCAAATTTGCTTAATTCAGTTCAATAAAAATATAGTGAGCCAGACACTGCACAGACAAGGACCCTGGGAAACACGGAGTCTGGGTCTGAAGCCCAGCCTCCGCGACCAGGGAAAACAGCCAGAGGTTATTAATTCAGAGAACATTCCAAATAAACGGGCAAGAAAGGACACAACGGGGAGAGTGAACAATCACATCCACAGAGGCAGAGGGCCGGGGGAACAGTTCTGGCTGTATAGACAATATCACTCCACAGGTAGCCACCAAGCGATGATCACGGGATCAGAGTAGAGGTCAGGAGCATCAGGGAGACTAAAGAGACAGACAGGGAGGCCCTGACACCACCACACAGCCTGAACTTCCCTCCACAGACAGTGAAAAAGTTCAAGCAGTGGAGTGGTGGCTATATTGCCTGGAACAGCTGGGGGTGGGGAGAAAAGGACTGTAAGAAGACAGGGGCAAGTTAAAGGGCTACTACCAAAGGTCTATGAAAGACACCAGGAACGGAGCATGGCTCCAAGAAGGGCCAAATTTGAAGGGAAATTCAGGATTAACTTGCCCTGGACTAGGTTTAAACAATTAACATATAATAGTCCCATTAAATAAGACTAGGGGAAAGAAGAGGAAGAGCAGGTGTAAAGGAAAGATTAAGTTCAAAATGGGAAACTGAGTAGGAGAGGCCCAGGGAACATATAAGAAACTATATCCATCAAGAAATGAATATGTGGGCTGGGGATGTGGCTCAAGCGGTAGCGCGCTCGACTGGCATGCGTGCGGCCCGGGTTCGATCCTCAGCACCACATACAAACAAAGATGTTGTGTCTGCCAATAACTAAACAATAAATATTTTTTTAAAAAACTATATTGTTAAAAAAAAAGAAGAAGAAATGAATATGTAACTATAAACCTAGAAAAAAGGTACAAATATACAGCAGTCATCAGCATACAAAGGATGGCTGAAACCAAAAGCTAACATCACCCAAAGAAAGAGCCAGGAGAGCCAGGCACAGTGGAGCAGGCCTGTCATCCCAGCAGCTCAGGAGGCTGAGGCAGGAGGATCACGAGTCTAAAGCCAGCCTCAGCAATTCAGCAAGGCCCTGAGCAACTTAGCGAGACCCTCACACTAAATAAAATATTAAAAAGGGCTGGGGATGTGGCTCTGTGGGTAAGTGGCCCTGGGTTCAATCAAAGGGAGGGAGAGAAGGCGGACAGGCCAAGAGAAAAGACCAGAAGACCAAAAATGGATCCCAGAGAAACATCAACTTTTTTAAAGGGTTAGTAGCAGGGACGAACTGGTCAGAGACACATGAGTAGCAGCAGGGACACAAGCTACAGTGAGCGCCTCACCTGCCCAACTCTTCCAACTCTTGTGTGGGGCTTAGTCCCCCTCCTCCCGCACAGAACTCCAAGCAGGCCAGGGGAGCGCAGTTCATCAGACACTGCTGCCCGGGGCTCTGAGTCTAGACCTATAGTGGCCAACACAGAGGGCACTTGAAAAGTGGCTAGGACAACTGAAACGTGCTGAGTTTACATCAGCTTTTGAAAAATTGATATGAAAACCATGTCATTGTTTTTTACTTTCTTTAAATGCAGCTACCAGAAAATGTAAAATTGCTTCAACCTCTTGAATTATGTTCCCACTGTTCCAGAGGACAGGGACAGTTTAACATTCAGTACAGCAGCAGTACTCAGTGACAGAGGCACCGAGGTCTTGGATCAACCCAACAGTGGCAGCATCAAGCCACACACACCTGAGGTGCAGGCCTCGCTGTGGCCAGCCTTCTTGGTCACCACCCAGTCTCTCTCTGGTCCTGCATGTATTTTAAGAGCCACAAATGAATCTGAGTCAGTCACAGAGGTAACAGCTTTTCTGGACACAAGTATCAAAACACTGATGATAAATGATATTTAATTATGTCAATAAATGACATTTGGTATGTCACAACTTGTCTGGGAATAAGCAACTCAGCAGTGAGTGCATAGCCCCAACCCAGTGTACCATACACATCAGATTTTTAAACTGGGTATGAAAAAATGGGAAATACTCATTAACAACACTGGTTATACACTGAAATAGTAACACTAGGGATGTGTTAGGTTTAATAATATATGTTCTTAAAACTCATCCCACTGGGGCTGGGGATGCGGCTCCGTGGCAGAGCATTTCGCCTCACATGTGAGGCCTGGGTTCTATCCTCAGCACCCAAAGGGGCTGGGCTGGGGCTCAGTGGCAGAGAGCTCGCCTAGCATGTGTGGAGCACTGGGTTCAATGCTCAGAACCACATATCAATAAATAAAATAAAGGTCCACTGACAACTAAAAAATATTAAAAGAAAAAGAAAGGAAGAAAGTGAAAGCCTGGCACATAGGCATGTCATCTCTCCTCCACCATCCCCTCATCACACTGCTCAAGCAACAAGCAGACTCCTCTGTCTTTCTCACATTCTTCCTAGTAGGTATCGCTTTGCACCCAATTAGGAAGGCTGAGCATGTGCAGGTCTAGGGAGGGGCAAGGACCACTGCATCAAAGCCCGGTCAGTATTCTGCTGGCCAGGGAACCGTAGAAGGTGGCTCAACCTTGTCTGCCAGTCTTCCAGGAAGACCTTTCTTTCCACTGCGTAGATAGGATCAGCTCAACTGCAAGCAACCAAGAACCGGCTTGACACTGAAGGGGACCAGAAGCCCCGCATGGAGATTTGCACAGCAGTGTGTGGCGAGACCTGAGCAGGACAAATATGAGGGTTATTCTAATAATAACCATTTCAACAGAGGGGTTGGGCAGGGAAGTTACCAGTAATTTACAGGGGCTGGGGACATGGCTCAGTGCAGTGGTAGAGCATTTACCTCGCATGCATGAGGCTCTGCATTCAATTCCCAGCACCACAAAAATAAATAAATTTTTAAAAATAAGAAGGAGAAAAAGAAGAAATGGTTTACTGACACAGAGGGGAAAATGTAGACTGCTGCCGGCAGGAATTGGGGCTGTAGCTCAGTGTGCAGTGTCTGCCTAGCTGGCCTGATGCCCTGGGGTCAAGCCATGGCACCACCACTGCCACAGTCCGGCTGGGCACAAATCACGAGCCACTCAAGCAGGAACAAACTTTATTTCCGAATTTCCGCGCACGCTACCCACGTGGCCTTCTCCCCGGACACACCACACACCAACTGGAAATCCCTCTCCTGGAACTTCCCCAACCAACACGAACTCCCCAGGCAATCCTCAGGAGAACTCCAAAGTAGCGGGCACCAGAGGTGGACAGTAAAGGTCTAATATACAATTGAATCAATCCAGCATCATCTTAATGGCTCGCCTCTCAACCAATACTATTGGCAAAATGCCAGGGGCCATTCCGACTCGGCTGTAGCTCTCAGCACACCACAAAACAGGACAGAAGCAGGGGAAGGAGAGAAAGGAGCTCATAGTTAAAGGGGGTGGGTGTCTTGCCTTCCTGTTTTAGTGCCAAAGGCTGTATCTGCACTCAGGATGAAGGAAGCGCAGGGAGAGGCCAACAATACAATACGGGAAAGAGATGGACACTAGAG